ATCTATCCATCCATCCATATGATTACGAATGTACGAAGCATTATATAAAAAAATATTTTCTCCAGTTATTATTTCAAACAAAAACAATCACTAACTAATAATCAGTTACTTTCTGTTTTCTAAAGCAAAATAATACATACGGTAAATTGATTTAAGAATTGTTCGTAATATGAAAGAGCTTCCAATATGATTGCTTCAAATTAAAGAGAGAATGTTTTCTTCAATTTCAAGTCGGTATCAATTATTGCTTCGTGTCCATTGTATCTCTTCTTTCTTTCAGGATTTAAAACGAATAACTTTATTTCTTAATTAAAAAATAATATCCTAGTGTCATAAAACACTAAAAAAAATACTGCGAAACTAATAAAGCCGCTATCATCATCCAATTAGTCGTTTAAACAGGAGGTCACAATGAAACTTTCATACAAACCAATACCACCATACATAACATATACAAACGAAAATAATACCCATCAGAGTAAATCGCATAAAAACTACCAAGCACTCAACTCGTTTGACAAAATTTTGTTAATTAAATTCTTACTAATTTTACTAATATTATAAATGCGTTTAGATGGATGCATAGATGAATGTTTGTTTGTATCTCCAGAACGGCTGAATGGATCTCAATGAAAATTGGCATACCAAAAGAACATAGTCTGGAAGAATACATTGGCTACTAAATGTTTTTCAATTCCGCGCAGACGGAGTCGCGGGCGACATCTAGTGCTTATATCTATTTACTTTTGAAGAGACTTCGTGTGTCGAAGTAATTTATTATAATAATAATCTAATATTGTTTTATTGTCGTAGTATAGTGGATACTATTTAAAAAAAATCTTTATAATAGTGCAATTTTTTCGGAATTTATTACTTGTTAGGCCTTACTGTGAAAGAAGAACAATGGCTAGTAAGATATATATTTTGTAAGTAAATTTAAATATTATTCATACTTTTATGTTTTTGAACGATAACAAACCTGATATTAATTGAACAGCCTAAAATTATAATTAATAAATAAATTTATTTAATGTAGAAGATTATGCTAAGATAGGGCTAACTAATAAGCGCCAATAGCCTAATAGTTTAGGTTACGGACTACGGGTATAGCAGTCATGGGTTAAAATCCCGCAATTCGACTATTTTCGTACAAGCTTTTAAAGCGTATGCAAAGATTACTAGATATATTAGTAAGCAAGATAATTAAATCCTTGTTAAATTCAAGCCTACGAATTTAAAGAACCGACGCATTATTTATTTTATGTGTTAAAGTGTTTAGTCATGGTATTTATTCTTATTTTCAGGCAATCTCCAAAAGACCAAACTTTTTACAGAAATTTTGCGACATTAATAACAAGTTTTCCTCTTGGTAACCGAGAGTGGTGGGGCTACAAAAAACCGAATAAATTCCAAAAAATTCATAGTAGATTTGTTATAATCTTTGCACCGATTTGCATTGTGTCGCAAATAATTTATGTCATACTTAACTACAACAATATCCCTTTTAGGATATTTAGTACTATTTTATCAATATTTCCTGTAGCGTGTGTTACAAACGTAAGTAAAAAAAATTATGTTATAAAACTAAAAAAATAAAATTACAAATTTTTACGAGATTAACTTACGTTTCTTCGGTTTACAGGCATGTATTTTTTCAGCGCAATTCAAAAGTTTTGAAAAAATAATGAAATTATTTATGAATAAAATTCATCTTTACAACTACAAAGATATTAACGATTTAACGCGACAAGTAATTTTTTTAATTGTTACTAAAATATTTCAAATTTTATTAACATATTTTATTTATTACTCTATCCTTTACAGAATGTGGTCAAAGCAGAACGTTACACTCGATTTGCGATATGTTTTTTAACATTTTCGCTAATAACTGACGGGTTGCTCTGGATTATTGTACCTTTGAGACATTATACACATAATATAGAAGAAATAAAAAATCAAACAGTTATGTTACAAACATTATCGTACTATTGGATGCCGTACGATTACACTTATAATATAAGAAATTGGGCTATAACGCATCTGATTAATTCTTACATCTGCATCACTGCTTGTACCATTATAATTGTCTTTAATTCACTTAATTATATGTTCGTATTCCATATAATTGGTCATATACAAATGTTCAAGGACAAATGTCGGACGGAATTTTGTAACACTCTCAGTGATAATGTTACGAGAGAAAAGCTTATAAGTTTAATAAAGGACCACTCTTTCATAATCGAGTAAGTTACTGTAACTTAAATAATACTTAAATAAAACTTTTTGAGAATATTTTTTGGTATACAAAGTCTTAATTAACAAACTGAATATAATTTTTTACAACTCTTACTATTATTTTTTTTTAATATCTTATTCTTTAATATTAACACATGCAATCTTGCCAATATTATAAATACGAATGTTTAGATGGATGGATGGATGTTTGTTACACGCTATGTCCATAACGGCTCAACGGACTCCGATCAAATTTGGCATAGATGTAGACCATAGTCTGGTAGAAGACATTGGGCACTAATACTTATGTTTAAAACACCGTACGGTCGGAATCGCGGGCAACAGCTAGTAGTTATTGATTATTGTACAGGGTGTTCAACGATATGAAAAACGCATTCGGATATAACGTGACCGGAAGCTACTGCCACAATTTACTAAGTGATAGTTTTTTACTCTATCAAATTATGTTTGGGGTATGTTAAATATTATTATTATTGTGATGATTGATATTAAACAATACTATTTTTTTATTCAATCACTATCATCCTATAGTTAATATTTTTACATACAGAATAAAATATAAATGTTTTATAGGTGTTTTAATTTATTTTTGTTCCCAGAACAAGGAGGACTGGCTGTTATACGGTTTGATGGTTTTTGTATACTTAGGCGGACTTATTTTAATGTCATTGGTGCTAGAAGAAATACGTCGTGAAGTAATTTCTTTATTTTTTATGCCGTATAAATTAGCTCTTGACCATGATCTCACCTCAAGTGTTAATGTGGGTGTCGATGAATCGTATACATATGATTGCTTACTAAATAAAAGGTATTTTTCCAGAGTACAACCTGCACATATCTGAGAAGAAATACAAAGATATGTGTGAAGTCAACCAACCCGCACTTGGCCAGCGTGGTTGACTATGGCCTAGTCACCCTTAACTTAGGGTAGGCTCCAAGCCCCTTGGTGGGGGCGTATAGTAAGCTGATGATGTATGTATGTATTCCAGAGTGATGATATGGCGGATGACATATACAGTATCCCGTGGGAAAACATGTCGATACCCAACCAGAAGACTTTAATGATGATGTTAGCTCGCGCACAGCCTGTTCTAGAGTTTATTTCTGCGGGTGGATTGCGAGCAGGCGTTCGACCAACTATATCGGTATGCTATCGATTTACACATAAAAATAATTGATAAAAAATTTGCGACACACTTTCTTAAATATATTTGAACTGATTCTCAGACGTATTTAAATCAGCCTTAATTTAGGAAATTATAATAAAAAAAAATTGAACAGTCACTAACAGTGTTTATTGTGGCATTATTTTGAAATTTACATGAGGAAATTCGGATATTTTTACATAAGATTTTTTGTACATTATGTTCAGTAACGTGTTTTTTACAGATAATAAAATCAACATTTACATACTATGTTATGCTGAAAACGAGTATAAAAGTTAACTAGTAATCTATTTAATTGCAACTACGACAAAGAATATACAGAATTATAGCACACTTTTAAAACACGTTTACTTAGTGATTTAAAATTAAAAAGGCATGAGCACATGAAAATTATTAAAAACTTTATTTACCTAGATTCTTTATTTTATTAACACCCTGTTTATATCTTATCTATGTATATAATTCAGTTGGTTTTATCTTTGAAAAATGTAGTTTCTTGTCATCTTTAAGAAACATGTCACTGTTGTTAAACGAAGATGGGAAAATAGTATTTTAAATCATTGTACGAACAAGAATGTTAATGCGAGTTTCTGTCATAATTTCAAAATACTAAAAATGAATAATAAAATAAATATAGAACGCAAATCATTTAAGAGTCCATATCAAAAATTATAAAATTGTATTCGTTCGTCGCCTTGAAGTTGACCATTCATATTATTTATGATGAAGGGAGAGACGGCAAACTCATTATTTCTTAGAAATTGTTTTGTCAACAACTTTTTGGACCACCAAATGTCTAGTAGCTTGTCCGTCTAAATTAACTTAAATATTGTTTGATTCAGTATTGAAAGTTACAGATAATAAAATAAATAAATTGAAATTTAATTTAACTTATAATAATTCTGAATACATTCAACTATCGGTAACTATTTCTCTAGACAATAAAGAGAATGGAACTTTTTTTTCTATTAAAAAACAGTGACAATTTTAGAGTTTCAAGAGAAAATTCAATAAGCCAGCTTCGATGACATATGAAACACATTAGTGACTTTACACACGATAATTCACTTTAGCGCTACGAAATGAAATCCGCCAGCTTTTAGACGACAATATTAATGTTGCGAAACGTAATTTAAGCAGATGTGATTTTATAACATCGAATCCGTGAAAGATTTTAATAAAGAGAAACGACAATGTATTAATAACGTACAAATTTATTACCAACAGAGAGTGTTATACACTCGAAGTGTTGCCTGATTAATTATATAATTAGGATTAATTGAAAATGTAAGAGCCAGCAACAACATCTGTTGAATTGGTTAGCTCGACCGATGAAATAACCACGACCACACAGATAGGCATGAAGTGGACACAATTCCGCTTTTCATTTGATAAGGGTGCGTGCCAGTGGCATCATTGTAATCCTTGTAGAAGAAGTTAATTTGATTGAGAAAAAGACGTATAGGACTCAACACATCATCAATTATGGCTGATTTTAGGCAGCACTTGTTTCGTTATTTCGGCGGAGTCAAATGGTCGCTTGTTCTTATCATAAAAAAATATGTTACCGAAGGTTTATGTAAAGCGTTTGAAGCAATACATAGCGCGAAATACAGTGTAGATTAATTATCTTTGTAACCGTTATGTTATACTATTTTATAATATCATATTTATTAACAAAGTCATCTGTTGTGTAAATAACGATGAAAGGAGATTGGTGTTCTGCGGGCGCAGTACAATAAATTACACACATTTTAGTTATAGCTTTTGGGAGCTTTCGCTTCATGGTTTGAAGCTTTTACGATACATCATAACTTTTACGCTACTGGTGTGACATCTATGTTGCGTAAAATATTATTTTATTTTACTGCATATCAGGCAGGTCATTTGTTAGAAGTTGTATGTAATGAAAGGACTTTATGCTTCACCATATTTTTATTTATTATACTAGATGTCAAAAGGTATAAAAGAAGCTTATAATATTCCCACAAACATTAGCTACATTCCCGTAAAGTCTCGTCAAAGTTAGCCTATCCGTTTCGAAAATTGTCTGGAACTCCAATTTAATTAATGGTATTATAAATTATAAAACATAAATAATAACGTAAGTAATGTTAAAATAATAAAATTGTCATTATCATCTTCTTGCCCGTTTCCTTACCCAGCATCACAACAGCATCTAGTACCATTTCATACATCCCTTTCAAATCGAATATATCATCTTTCACACAGTACATTCATATTTCTTCGATCTGCTTCTAAGTACAGAAGTAAGTAGCCATCGACATTCACTCTCATTTCTTATTTATATGCCCATCATCTTTCCGCATTACATCCATAGACGCTTGCTTTTTGTAACATATTTGTCGTTGAGTTTAATCTTTTTAATTAGCAGTCAGTGTATGAAATGACGTTGACGAGGGTCAATTCACAGGAGATGACGCACGCCTCGTCATTTTGCGTCATAAATTACGCTAATGCGGTCCTATTTTCATATTAAAATAGCCGTAAATTAACCTGATTTAACGTTAAAATAATTTTCTATGAATTTTGGTTCAACGTCAATGACTGTCCGTTCCTTTATCAAGTTTATAACATACTAGATGTCGACCGCGACTCCGTCCGCGCAGAATTAAAAACAAACATTACAAGTAGACAATGTGCACTTCTAGACTATGTTCTATATGTATGCCAAGTTCATCGAGATCCATTCAGAGTTTCTGGAGATACCTCCAAACAAACATCCATCCTTGCATCTAACAACATTCGCATTTATAATATTAGTAAGACTAAACATGGCAAATTTTTTTACATAACATTAGATTTACTGAACATTCTTTAAAGTTCAACAGTATAATTTATTAAAATAAAATTAAACTACTAAAGTGACAGTACTCGTGAGCTGTTAAACAGAAATCCCTCAAGGATAATACAATATAACCTTGGTACTTTGTTCACATGTTCTTCACAGTCTATTTTGAATATATTAGCCCTAAAAGGGTCTCACGTCGATAATATGTACGAAGTTTACTCATACAAGGCACCTCTTTATTAGTGCGAAAGATTATACTCAGAAGATATTGTGGTCCACCCATTAACCTGTACTAGTGTCTTTGTTGTAATCGAACTTTATGTAAAAACTTTATATATCACGTGGCTTTAACTTGGTATTTATTAACGAAAATTTTGTTACATTATTCAACGCACCGTAGGCAGGCCTCCCGAAAGACGGACCGATGATACGGTCAAGGCCACGCGAGTGTCCTAATTAGGATAGAACAGGACCGATCATAGTGGCAATCTTTAATGGAGGCCTATGCCCTGCAGTGGGCTTCATATGGCTGAAAAGAAGAGGAAGAAGTATAGTCATTCAAAGTTTTTAAAAACTGTTGAATCAAAAACTCCTATGACATCTCACTTTTCTTTAGTTTTAACTTAATACCAAAAAGTTCAATAACAAAACTACGTAGTAAAAACATATTTTTCTTTATAAAAGACAAAAGCGAAGAAGGAAACAATGTTATCATTTCTATTAATGGAGAGAAGGCGTCTGCGAGGACGTGATTAAGTAGCTTTTCCTTAGCCCACAATTAATCTCTCATGATTAAAATTATCCGACCAAGTCAAATAAAATCGAGTCGCGACAAAGTTAAATAAAACATTCCTTTAATTGTTTCTTTATTTTATCTATACCATAAATAGAAACCTTCCTTTTTTTACCTATTGAACCTTTTTTATTTATTTTGTCTATTTTTTTTTTGTATTCCGCTTAATCACTAATTTGTAGCTCACATTTTATATTCTTATAGTTAAAATTGTTATTTCGTATCTAAAAAATCAATCAAAATTTTAATGTTTAATTGTCGTTTTTTGCTTTTTTTTTCGTTGTATTTGTTTTTATTTCTGCTTACCCTACCTCGTGCTGTGCAAATGGTGTGAAAACAAAGGGGCCAGCTGAAAACCAGCGCAGGATTGGCAAGACCTCCCTGCACCAGCTGAGCTGGCCCCCTTTTTTTGCCACATCCTCAATTTATTTAATTTAACTTGTTTTTTTGTAGTTTTTCTTTTCCTTGTTTGTGGCAATAAATAAATATTCATTCATTCATATATATTCATTCAATTCATTCATTCAATATTCATCCATTCATTCAATTTATTTCTCTATTAGACTGGATTTTAAAATTCTTTTTTGCGTATTATGCAACGAAAATAGCAAACAGCGAGATACAACTGTCACATCAAATTCATATCTAACATATAAGAACAGTTTTGTACAGACAATTTTATTTTTTCCGTCAATATTCGAGTAAGACTTTTTTGCTAGTCTATACATATTGATAAAAATTGGTAATATCGAGAAAAAACCATATTTTGTACACATGATGCGTATTTGCGTTGCTGATAACAATAAATAGATTAAAAAAAAATTTGTCTGTCTGTATGTCTGTCTGCAAAGCTGGGTTTGTTCCGTGTAATCTTGGGAACAGCTGGACCGATTTGAACAGGTAGGTAGCTAAAGCACTCGAGCATATTATAGGCTACTTTTTCCAACTTTGCGCTGACGAAGTCGCGGGAAACCGCTAGTTTGTCATAAAATGCTACTTATTAGTGTCCTTATGTGCTTAGTGTAATTATTGTTCAATAAATTGAGAATGCGTAGAAAGATAATAAAAAATTTATATCCTCGTTTCCTATATCGTGGGTTTCTACAATACTTGTGCAAAAAATCTTTCTTTCCGTTCTTTTTATAAAACTAAAAACGAAGGTGAAAACTCGCGGTTAAGATGAACGAAGAAAATAATTTCATTTACTTAGAAAAAATATATTTTCACACTTCATTCCCGAGGGCTCTTCTGTCTTGTTTATGAATTCCTTGCAGCAAAGTTTTTGTGCAAACACATTTCACGGTACGTTTTGCTCGTTAACAAATGGCGTCAACTAATTAGAATATATGGTTCCTACTATTTAACTAATACAAATACAGAAACATACGTTGTTACAACCTTGTAGTTGTTAAGAACATTAGCATTGAAGTCCCGATAGTTCTAAAAGGATGTAGCTTTTAAAATAGGCTAACAATATATTTTCCTCATTACTAAAAGAAGACGGAAAAAATCGACTGGGTAACCATAAATAATACGTACAATAATAAGGGTCGTTGCACGTGCAATTGTATCATTTGAAAAAAGAATAACAAAAGAAAAAGAAAATGGAAAAATGAGGTCTATCGCTATGTATTCATAGACTAAAGTGCAGACTAAATATCATTACAGTACTCACTG